CAGCAGGAAGAGAAAAGGAAACACTGGGCCTGGCCTGAGCATTTGAAACCCCAAAGCCCACCCCCAGTGACACACTTCCTTCAACAAGGCCACACCTCCTAATCCCTCGAGGAGCATCACTCCCTAAGGCCAAGATTCAAATATATGAGCCTATGGGATCCATTCCTATTCAAACCACCTTCGTGTTTTAAGATAGGCACTAGAGAGAAGAGGCCGTCTATAAATCCTAAAGCAGTGGAGGGTAGATGGGATGAGAAGAAATCCACTCCACAGGAGGTGAGAAAGGATAGATGCAAACTTCAGGTAGCTCTGAGTGATTCCTGTGAGTTCACGGTTACAATAAAAGCAAATAAGCTAAGCTTTCTACCAAAAGGCAGGGACTTCAGGGTGGGGTTGGGACTGAGTTCCTGGAGTGATGGCCTAGCGTTCATGAAGCCCTGAGTTCAGTCTCCAGCCAGCCCTGTGTAAACCAGGTGTGGTGGCACTCTCTTGGAATCCCCGCACTTGGGAGGCGGAGATAGGAGGATCAGGAGTTCAAGGTCTTTCTTGGCTGCATAGTAAGTTTGATGACCTTGCCTAAAACTCACAATCCTGCCTCCTTGAACTCACAGCAACCCTCCTGCCTCAGCTTCCCAAGTGCTGGGGTGGTAGGCATCAGCACACTCTGATTTGGTCACTGGGGGCTGGCATTGTCACTCATGCTGAATGATCAACAGGCAGTCCCCCAGCACACCTGGGTACTGGTCTGTATTGGAAACTTTCTTTTCTCATCAGAATATCTGACAAAAGCAATTTCAGGGGAGAAGGGCTTATTATGGCTCACAGTTCTGGGTGGTGCTGTCCAACCTGTCAGTGAAGGCATGGTGGCAGGAGTGTCCTGGTCACACTGCATCCAGTCCACAGGTGTTCAGCTCAATTTCCCCTTTTTATTCAATCCAGAACCCCTAGCCCATAGAATGGCGCCCTCCACACCCAGGGTGGGTCTTCCACTTCTATGAACCCAATCTAGAAACCCTTTGACAGGTGTACCCAGAGTCTTGTGTCCTAGTGACTAGATCCTGTTAAGCTGACTGTATTACCCATCACACGGCCTTACTCTCTCTGGTCCATCCACCCTCAGACCTGACTCAGTGACCTAGGCATTGAACTGAATGCTCTGAGTGCAGACCTCATTGTCAAGGTCTCTACACAAGGCTCACAGTCCAGATAAGAGTCACGGCGTGTCAAACCAGTGGCAGCCAATATGATGGAGCTAGTAAAAACTCCATGTGATGAGTGGAACCATATGGGGTAGGTGAGCAGGAGATACCAAATGTCTTTCCTAGGAGTTCCAGAAAGAGAGAGCATCTCAGGAGGGGGCTGAGAACCTAGACAGAGTATGACCAGTGAAGGGGACCTGTGTGTGCCCCTGGTGTGACTGGAGCAGAGGAGAGGGTGGTAGAGAGCAGTGTGTGTGTGTGTGTGTGTGTGTGTGTGTGTGTGTGTGTGTGTGTGTATGCACAGATACACACTGAAGTCACTGAGGTCAGAACTGTACCTTGGATAACTCTGGCCACTGATTTGAAGGGAAGGTATTGGGGAAAAGCAGAGATCAGAACACAGGACAGGTATTGATGATGATCTGCCGAGTTGAAACTTCAGAACCAAGTATTCCTGTGGGGCTGCACCACTGCACACAGAACCTCACATACAATAGGCAAGTATTCTACCACTGAACCACACCCCCAGCTCCTCACAGGGGATTCTAGACAAGGGCCTTACCTCTAAGCCACATCTCAGCCCCTTGCTAGGGAATTCTAGGCAGGGACTGTACTGAGTCATGCTCCCAGGCCATCTCTGGGAGATCCTAGGGAAGTTCACTACCACTGAGCCATACCTCCAGCCCCTCACTGGATTAAACATGTATTATTAGGTCCAAGCTTCATTATTTCCTGGTCTCTGGACCCACACTGTCTGGAACATTCAGATGTGGGTTTTACTAATCTCCCAACATTTCTCAATCCAATCTGATTAAACTTCAATTGGGATTGGTGACCCCATCACACACCTGTATTCCCGGCTACTCAGGAGGCCAAAACAGGAGGCTTGGCTCCAGGTCAAGGCCAGCCTGAGCTACAAAGTCTCAAAAATTTGAAAGCTTAAAGTTTAATCATCTAAAATTTTGTACACATAGAAAAGGAGATTGAGGCTGGAGAGATGCCTGCACACTTAAGAGCACTTGCTGCCCTTGCAGAGAACCTGGGTTCAGTTCCCAGCATCTAGTTCCAAGGGACCCAATGCCCTCTTCTGGCCTCTGTGGGTACCACACACATGGTGCACATACACACCTGCAGGCAAACACTCCTACACACAAAATATATACTTTTCAAAGAAGGAAGAAGGGCATGAATGGATGTGTGTTGAATGGCTAACATGGCTGAATACTGTTTTCCAGACTTTCCTTTCCTTGCTCTTTTTCCTTACAAGGAGCACAAGTGACTCCCATCAATAGGAAAGAAAGGCTTACAGATGCTTGCTCTGTTTGTGGTTCTGACTTGGTGCCAGCCAGGCTTGGTCCAGGGGACCAGATAGTGTGCCTTGAGGAGCCCCTTCCCTCCACAGCCCCTCTCTCTGTCCCCCACACGTGAAATCTCAGTCCAGGCTCCAGCCACTTAACCTACCACAGTGAGTGGGACTTCCTGAGTTTTCTTCTTAAGGGCTAGAGTAGAGGCGGGGTTGAGACTTGGTCTCACTGCATAGTCTAGGGTGACCTCAACTCACAATACTCCTCCTGCCTCAGACTCCCGAGTGCTGGGACTAATTCTGTGTGTGAGTCACCATGCTCTGCTCTCTCCCCTCCTTCACTTTCCCCGAAAACCACAGCACTTCCATGGACCAGCAAGGTGCCTAGGTTTTTCACTGTCCTCATGAAATGTGCTGGTGGCACAGTGGCAAAGCACCCACGTAACTCAAGTGAGGAGGTGTGGCTCTGTGATCAGATGAATCTGAGAGCTCTCCAGGCCATGGGTTCCCCAGCACCAAGAAAGAGTGGGTGTCCCAGACAGGAGTTCTGAGAGGACATGGTTACAAGCTCATTCTGCTGCAGAGGGAAACTCTGTGCTCATAAACCCAGGGCCCAGGCTCTGTGAGTGACACACAGCCACATGGTCACCTCACGCCCATGGGGGATACAGCCAGGACATCCTCCAGAGCAGGCAACCCTGATCCTGGCATGGAAGGGCTGGGAAGTTGACCATGAGAGGAAGTAGCTAGCGCTTAGAGGCCGAGAGAAGAGCAGATACACAGGCTTGGAGGCAGGAGTGAGTTTGCAGCCCCAGGGAGCTTCTTGGGCCGCGTGATAAAGAGAGAGCACAGAAGGAGGAGGAAGGCCATGGCAATGGGCTGCTTGAAGCCGGGGCCGTGGCTCTCAGGGGATCTTGGAAGGATGCAGTTGATAGAGTGGCTGCCGAGCATGCAGAAAGTCCAGGGCTCCAGCCCCAGCACTGCATAAATCACATGTTGGCGAATGCCTGTAATCTCTACATCCGGTAATACCACCACGTAAGTGGAGGCAGAGGATTTGGAATTCAAGTTATCACATCCTGTGAATTCAAGGCCAGCCTGGGCTACATGAGACCCTGTCTAAATTTTTTTAAGTTTGTTTGGGACATAACTGTCCCTGTCGTATAGGTGTGCAGCTTGAACGGGGTAGGAGAATACCATAGCAAGCTGTGAGTAGGGAAGTGACAGTCTGTGGGTCTAAACACCTTTGCAGGGTATGGTGGGGGGATGCGGGTGGGGTGGAGCTGGGGATAGGGTGGAGAGGAGGAGATATGCAGAGTTGAGACACTGAGAGTGGGGGTGGGGCTTCAGGACTGATGCCCTTGAGCTGTCTTCTGCAGGTGGCGCATTAATGAAGGCTTCGGGTTAGTAGGTCAGGGCTCCACTCCCCAGGGTGGAGCGCCCTCCAAGCCCATGGGAACAATAGTGAGGATCCTGAGGTGAGAAGAAGCCAGACTCAAGGAACTCCAACAGCCTAAGGCATGTGCATGGTCTCTTCTCAGCTAACTGCCTCTGCCCCCTTCCTCTCCTGAGGGATTTGACCCGGACAATGGTCAGGTGACATGTCCCACAGTCAGGAAGGGGAGGCAGTGCTGGGGGAGGACTATGCTGCTCATTACCTCCACAGCCTCGATTTCTGTATCTGTCCATAAAAACAGACAGCAAGAGGGAGGCAGGCCCACCAGCTCGGCACCCAGCAATCCATGTAGTGAGCCTCCCTCCTCCTTTGGAAGCAGAGAAATTATAGGACTGTTGAAGGGTGAGTGACAGGCGTGTGTGGAAAGCATCCTGGGGCAGAAGAAGCACGAGTAAGTCAGGCATGGAGGCACAGGCTTGACTTCCCAGGTAGTCAGAAGCCCGAAGTACCAAGATCAAAAGTTTGAGGCCAGGGCTGGAGAGATGGCTCAGAGGTTAAGAGCACTGACTGTTCTTCCAGAGGTCCTGAGTTCAATTCCCAGCAACCACATGGTGGCTCACAACCATCTATAATGAGATCTGGCGCCCTCTTCTGACCTGCGGTCATACATGCTGTATACATAATAAATAAATCTTTAAAAAAAAAAAAAAAAAAAAAAAAAAAAAGTTTGAGGCCAGTCTCAGGAACTTAATGAGACGCTGTCTCCAAATGAAAAGTAAAAAGAGCTGGGGATGAAGGTTAATGGTGGAAGACCTGCCTAGACTCCCCCAGTGAGGGGCTGGACATGGCTCCCACCTGCCTAGACTCCCCCAATAAGGGGCTGAGGCGTGGCTCGGTGTAGATCATCTACTTCGAGTCCTCCAGTGAGGGGCTCTACAGTGGCTCAGTCATAGAGCCCCTGTCCAGCACCTTGCATCTCGGAGGCCCTGGGTCTTGTCCTTAGCACCACATGCTGATCTCTGAGTCTCATTCTCCTGCTGTGAACTGAAAAGTCCTGCTGTTCCCAGGCTTGTCAGATGCACTGACGCTAGTCTCCCCGCAGGTGATCCGCACAGACACATTCAAGCACCTCAGGCACCTGGAGATCCTGCAGCTGAGCAAGAACCTGGTGCGCAAGATTGAGGTGGGCGCATTCAATGGGCTGCCTAGTCTCAACACACTGGAACTCTTCGACAACAGGCTGACCACAGTGCCCACACAGGCCTTCGAGTACCTGTCTAAGCTCCGGGAGCTGTGGCTGCGCAACAACCCCATCGAAAGCATCCCATCCTATGCCTTCAACCGCGTGCCCTCACTGCGCCGCCTGGACCTGGGCGAGCTCAAGCGGCTGGAGTACATATCAGAGGCGGCCTTCGAGGGGCTGGTGAACCTGCGCTACCTCAATCTGGGCATGTGCAACCTAAAGGACATCCCCAACCTCACAGCGCTTGTGCGCCTGGAGGAGTTGGAGCTGTCAGGGAACCGGCTGGACCTAATTCGCCCCGGCTCTTTCCAGGGCCTCACCAGCCTGCGTAAGCTGTGGCTGATGCATGCCCAAGTGGCCACGATCGAGCGAAATGCCTTTGACGACCTCAAGTCGCTAGAGGAACTAAACCTGTCCCACAACAACCTGATGTCGCTGCCACACGACCTTTTCACGCCCCTGCACCGCCTAGAGCGCGTCCACCTCAACCACAACCCCTGGCACTGCAACTGTGATGTGCTGTGGCTCAGCTGGTGGCTAAAGGAAACAGTGCCCAGCAACACCACATGTTGCGCACGCTGCCACGCACCCGCTGGCCTCAAGGGCCGCTATATCGGTGAGCTGGACCAGTCACACTTCACCTGCTACGCCCCGGTCATCGTGGAGCCACCCACAGACCTCAATGTTACCGAGGGTATGGCGGCCGAGCTCAAGTGTCGCACAGGCACATCCATGACTTCTGTCAACTGGCTGACACCTAATGGCACGCTCATGACGCATGGTTCCTACCGCGTGCGCATCTCAGTCCTGCACGATGGCACGCTCAACTTCACCAATGTCACCGTGCAGGACACGGGCCAGTACACGTGCATGGTGACAAACTCGGCCGGCAACACCACTGCCTCGGCCACACTTAACGTGTCGGCTGTGGACCCTGTGGCCGCAGGGGGGGCTGGGGGCGGGGGCCCCGGGGGTGGGGGCGGTGCAGGGGGCGCGGGCGGCTACACCTACTTCACCACGGTTACCGTGGAGACGCTGGAGACACAGCCGGGTGAGGAGTCGCAGCAGCCCCGGGGTACGGAAAAGGAGCCCCCGGGGCCCACGACCGATGGCGCATGGGGCGGTGGCCGGCCTGATGCCGCAGCCCCGGCCTCGGCGTCCACCACGGCGCCGGCCCCACGCTCCTCGCGGCCCACGGAGAAGGCGTTCACGGTGCCCATCACGGACGTGACGGAGAACGCGCTTAAGGACCTAGACGATGTCATGAAGACCACCAAGATAATCATCGGCTGCTTCGTGGCCATCACCTTCATGGCCGCTGTGATGCTGGTGGCCTTCTACAAGCTGCGCAAGCAGCACCAGCTGCACAAGCACCACGGGCCCACGCGCACTGTGGAGATCATCAATGTGGAGGACGAACTTCCCGCCGCCTCCGCTGTGTCGGTGGCCGCGGCCGCCGCTGTGGCCGGAGGCGCGGGCGTGGGCGGGGACAGCCACCTGGCCCTTCCGGCGCTGGAGCGAGACCACCTCAACCATCACCACTACGTGGCGGCCGCCTTCAAGGCACACTACGGCGGCAACCCAGGAGGCGGGTGCGGGGCCAAGGGCCCCGGCCTCAACTCCATCCACGAACCTCTGCTCTTCAAGAGCGGCTCCAAGGAGAACGTGCAAGAGACACAAATCTAAACCTGGGCGCGCAGGGACGCAGGACGTCGGCCGGCCGGGGATGCTCCTGCTTGCCGCGCTGCCCGGCGGCGCCCGACATCCTGCAACAGGAAAGGACCTGGAGATCAGGAGAGGTGGCCCGGCCCTCCACCTTGCCGTACCCTCTGCCCACCTGCCCTGCCCGCCACCTTCCAGGGGAGAGGAGCTTCTTCGAGGGGTACCCTTTCCCCTCATCCCAACCCTCCTTTTACGGCTCTTTCTTTTTTCTTTCTTTCTTTGCAGTTTGACGCCTGTCCTTCCCTCCTACTCCTCCACCCTCAAAACACAAGAGACAGACAACTTCACCAGAGCCCAGGGGGCAACTCCGACAATGTCCCCAACAGCGAGCTCCACTCGCGGCCCTGGCCGGCCCCACCCGCCCCACAGACTCTTTTGATACTGAAGGGAGGTTTGCGTCAATCACTACCTGCTCTGTAATTACTTTAAAAAAAAAAAAAAAACATGGAAAAAGTAAAAAAAAATTTTTTTTGGTCATGAAAGTATTGAAGACAGTGCACAAAGCCACTGTGGGTGGGACCAGGAGAGGATGGCCAGCCAGTGATGCTGTCCTCCCAGGAGGGGAGAGTGGGCACCCCGAAGTTACAGCTCTGGGACTCTCCATTCCCAAGATCCCTGAGAGGAGCAGGCTCACCCAGCACATAGCATTGTTCCATCTTCCTGGCTGCCCTTCCGGGGATGTGCTAGGGGCTTGCCCTCTGCCCTTCTCCTGTGTTCCTGGCTGCCCTTCCGGGGATGTGCTAGGGGCTTGCCCTCTGCCCTTCTCCTGTGTGTCTCTGTCTCCATCTCCATCTCTGGCTGTCTTTCCTTTCTGACTCTGGTGCCTGACTCACACACACACACACACACACACACACACACACACACACACACACGCACGCAGACACACACACAACCCAGAAGGACCTAGGACTGCAACGCTTCACCACGGCTTGGGACAACAGAACTGTGGGATGTTGGGGTTCTGAGGGCTGCAAGTCCAAGGTCACAGTGCTGGCAGGGCTGGGTTCCCTCTGAAAACTGGCAGGAAAGCTCCATCCCGGCCTCTCCTGGTTGCTGGGGCCATCCATGTGTGCCTCCCCGGAGGAGGGATGCCATCATGCAGTTTAGGGGCTTCACAGCAGCAGAACCTCTCCTGACATGACCATCTGCAGACTCAGCTGTCCAGGAAGGCCACAACTGGTGACCTGAAGGTCAGGGAGGCCACAGGACTTTCTGGGTGACAGACACTACTGAGCAAGTGGTTGTGTCCCCACAGGAGAGTCTCCTCCATTTCACATACATCACTGGCTAGTCAAGAGACAGTTTGTGCAAGGGCGGGCACACAAAATAAACAGGCCTGGGCCACATGAGGGACGTTGTAAACAGACCAGGGCACATGGAGGGCAGAGTCACCTGCAGGATCTGCAATCACCAAGGAGTAAAATGTGCAGCTAAGCCAGGACTGGGTGGTGCTGGAGTGGAGATATTAGTGACCTCTCAGAGTGACCCACATTGTCCAAGGTTCAGCCTCCAGAGAAACAGGATTGCCCAGGAAGTCTGAGGCGGCCTAGGGAGGTAGAGAGGTAGCCAGAGCCAAGCATTCAGCACATGGACACCTGGCCCGTCATGCATAGATCTAGACCCTATGTGGGCACTGAAGGCCCCAGGGTACACGCCTTCACCAGATGTGGGAGAGCAGGAAGTCCCCCCAGAACTCCTTGCACCCTGTGCGTATGCCCCCTTCTCCCTGTCCCCACCTCTTCCCGATGTTTCTACCCCCACTGCATCTTCTCCTCTGTCCCAGCGCTAAGTGGCTTCTTTATCTGTGACAACTGAAGATGTCTGGCCCTATCTCCCTCCCTGTCCGGTTCCTCTGTGCTGAGGAAGTCTGGGACAGGGCTGTTGCGCATGCACTTGGAGTTCGCTCTCCATCTTTCCTCCCTTCTCTGCAGCTATCTCGGCTAGGATCCTGGTTACCATGGCAACACTGCGGCTGTACCAGGTGGCAATGGGGGCAGGGAGCTGGCCTGCCGCAGCCCGCCTTGTCCTATGCCAGGCCTGCCAGGCGATGGCTGGACTCATTCTGGGGGCACTTAGGAACCCCAGCTATGCAGGCCCCTTCATCATAAATGGGGTAGGGGGTGGGAGAGGATGCAGGAGACCAGGAATGCAAAGAGGCAGGGGACTGTAGCCTCGAGGTGGGATGAGTGATGCCCAGGACAGTTGAGGTGAGCTCAAGGGCAATTAGACTGTAGGGTGGGGGAGGGGACTCTGGCCAGGACTGAGGGGCATGGAGGACTGGGGAAGACAGGACACAGGTGGGCATGAAGGACCACATGACATTCCAGCCAGATGAAGGGGTCTGCAAGGGACCTGGTGGAAGACCCAAGTTCCTGTCCCCACTTCTTCCTCTGTCCCAAGCAAAATACAGTTTCCATGACAACCTGCTGGCCAGCCTGAGGAGGGGGTGCTGCAAAGGGATTTTTTCTACCTCATGAGGCATGGGAGAGTGTGGGGTGCACAGGAGGCAGTGTAGTAGTGGGCACACAGAGCCACAGGAGGCCTAGCTCCCAAGCCACCATGCCAGCCAGCACAGAAGGGCAGAGGGCTCACAGAAAAGCACCCCCACCCCCACCATCCTGCTCCCTCCCTCTGGCTCCAGTGGAGAGGGTCAAGGGTCAAGCTCCAAAGATCATTCACTGCTTATGCCCAGTACAGAGCCCAGCAAGCACTGAAGAGCCCCCACAACTGGACACCGTGCTAAAGGCCAAGGCCACCACTATGGCCCCTCTAGTCCCTCAGAAGGTGGGGATTGTGGGTTATGGCCGTCTGGGTGAGTCTGAACTAACCTGGGGCCTCCTTCTATGGCCCTATCCTAAAGTCCCAGAAACATCTGTTCCCACATATCTTTCACTCTAATCTGCCAGCGCAGCCTGCCTTCTGCCCACACACTGGGCCTTCCTCTCTCTGGTTCTCTGTCTCTGTCTCCCTCTCGTGTGTGTGTGTGTGTGTGTGTGTGTGTGTGTGAGACTGGGTGTCTGCCTCTCTCTAGGTCTGTCTTCTCTCTGGGTCTCTGAGGTATCTCAGTCTGTCTGTCTGTCTGTCTGTCTCTCTGACTTTCCTCTTGGTCTCATCTCTGTCTCTCTTCTGTCTGGGTCTCTATCCCTCTGTCTCTCTCTCTCTCTGTGTGTCTGGGCCTCTGTCTCTCCTCTTTGGCTTTCTATGTATTCTGTCTGCCTGTCTATCTCTTTCTCTTTCTGGGTCTCTCTCCCCTCTCTCTAGGTCCCCCCCTCTGTCTGTCTGTCTGTCTACACCTCTGTCCCCCTCTCCTCTTTGGTTTCTTCTCTCTCTCTCCCTCTCTCTCTCTCTCTCTCTCTCTCTCTCTCTCTCTCTCTCTCACTCTCACTCTCACTCTCTGCCTCTGTCCCTCTCTCTCGGTCTCTGGGATATCACTCTCAGGCTTTCTCTCTCAGGAATGCTGTGTCTCACTGCCCCATGTCTGCCCGCCCTTCTTCGTGTCTCTCCCCATCCCTCTCTCCATCTCCCTGAGTAGGGGAGTGGTCTCTGTTCTTTCCTTGGATCTCTAGCCCTCCCCTTCTCTGCAGGACAATCCCTTGTGTCCCGCCTTCTGGCTCAGGGATCAGAACTGGGCTTAGAACTTGTTTTTGTATGGAACCGAGACCCTGGACGAATGGCAGGGAGCGTGCCCCCTGCCCTGCAGCTCCAAGACCTTACTACCCTTGGGGAAAGGTCAGTGGCTCACAGCAGAATGGGAGCCTGCCCAAAGCCCCTGCCTGCCTCCTTGTACCTTAGTGCACATAAAGATAAACTAGAATCACCCACTGTCCCATTTCCCTCCCTAGCCAGGGTAAGGAGTGACATCCCTCCAAACCCTGAGGAGACCTGATTCTTCTCCAAGGCCCTCCTCCATGTCTCCCTCTTCCAGGCACCCTGACCTTGTGGTAGAAGTGGCCCATCCAAATATAATCCACGAATCAGGGGTACAAATCCTGCGCCATGCTAACCTCCTGGTGAGCCCCCTCTCCTCAGTAAGTCCTTTTCTACGTTGGCTGCATCCCGCCCTATAGTAGTGATCCATGTCTTGGCCTTCCCTCTCTCTACCATCCGTCTCCCAAGGTGGGGTCTCCTTCAGCTCTGGCTGACCAGACCACAGAGCAACAGCTCATGGAGGCCTCAAACCACTGGGGCCACACTGTGTTTGTGGCCCGAGGAGCCCTGTGGGGGGCTGAAGACATCCGGAGACTGGATGCAGCCGGTGGCCTCCAGGTGAGAACCATCTGGGCTGCACCTGAGGGAACATGTAAGCGTCTCAGCCTCCTGACCCTGCCATCGCTTCCAGAGCCTTCGAGTCACCATGGCCACACATCCTGATGGCTTCCGGCTGGAGGGATCCCTGGCTGCAGCACACAGCAGTGGGCCCCGCACAGTGCTCTATGAGGGCCCTGTGCGTGGGCTCTGCCCCTTGGCTCCCCGAAACTCTAACACCATGGCAGCCGCTGCCCTGGCTGCCCCCAGTCTAGGCTTCGACCGTGTCATTGGGGTGCTTGTGGCTGACCTTAGGTGAGCAAAGGAAGTGGGTGGGCCAGCTGTGTACAGGCCACATGGACTGACTGCTCTCCTCTGCTGGCTGCAGCCTCACAGACATGCACGTGGTGGATGTGGAGCTGAAAGGCCCTCCAGGGCCCACGGGCTGCAGCTTTGCCGTGCACACCCACAGAGAGAACCCAGCCCAGCCTGGCGCGGTCACCGGCTCTGCCACTGTCACAGCCTTCTGGCACAGCCTACTGGGTGCGGCCAGACCCCTCCAAGGTCCATTGGCCTCTGTGCTCTGCACAACTCACATGTCGGGTGTCCCACCCCGGTTTTCTGTCTTTGCCCATCCTTAGTTTTCACTCCCAGGCTTTACGACCTTCCTTTCCCAGCCCCCCCCTTTCTCTCTGAGTCTCAGTCCTCCTCTAGTCTCCCCATTGACACCCCACATCTCTTTCTGAGTATCCTCTTTGGGTTGTACCACACTACCATTTCAAAGCCCACGGTCGCCATGGCCGCCTGCATGTCTGTGTCGTCATCCTAGTCTTTCATTCTCCCCACAGGCTGCTGCCAGCTCCCCTCCAGACCTGGGATCCACCTCTGCTGACAAGTCTTCTCCCCCACTGCCCTTGCTGTCACTTCGAACATTATATGTCTCAGTAAACATCAGAATTGTGCCCGCTGTTCTCTTTGGCCTCTTTGGTTCCTTGTCCCCTAAGTCTATTACATCACGCTTCAACGCACAGCGTATGACGCCATAGCTGCGAGCGCGTGCGCACACACACAAACCAACTTCCTGGAAGCTATCGCGAGAGCCCCAGTTACTACATTTCCCAGAAACCTCTAGGCAGCAGAGAGCCCTGGGGGTTGCACGAAAACTGGCTGCGTGGTCCGATGGGAAATGTAGTTCCGCGCTGCAGAGCGTCCCCGGAGGACTTCCGGATTGCGCGTCCAGAATAGGCGCCCCGTGGAGGCCTTCGGGAATCGCAGTCCTGAGCGCGCAGGTCTCCGGGAGCTGTAGTCCGTCCCTCCTGCCCAGTCAGCGTGGTACCACCCGGCCGCTGCCCAAGGAATGCGAAAGCGGCCGGTCCCAGCGAGCAGAGAGGCCGAAGGGGTGAGGGCCGGGCGAGGGCCGTATGGAGGCGGGTGGGAGCGTGCCTGGTTGCCAGGTGACAGGAAGAGAGGGGGCTCCTGTTGCTTAGTGACTAGGAGAGGGCCTTGTTGCCAGGTGACAGGAGGAGAGAACCCTGGTTATTGACGAGGGGAAGTCTTCCGTTGCTAGGCGACCAGAAGAGACCCTGTTACCCAGAGACGGTGAAGGAGGAGTCCTCCATTGCTAGGTGATCAGAAAACGGACCGGGTTACCAAGTGGGTGGGGTGTGCTCTGTTGCTTGGGAACCAAAAAGGTATTGTTTCCTTGGGACAGAAGGGGCGATATTCCGTTGCTAGGTTACGGTGATCCGGACCGTTTTGCTTAGAGACATGTAGTGGGGGTGGGTCTCTATTGCCAGGTGAGCAGACTGGAACATGAAGATGCCTCTTTGCTCCGGAAACAACCTAGGTAGCAGGGTCAGGGACCCCATATCCTCCCAAGCTGGTCTCGGTGCCCATCTCAGTGGCCATTGCCCAGGGACACAGGAGTCTGGAGACCCGGATGACCCAGATCCTGGGTCCCTAACACGGTCTCTTTGTCCCACCCCCAGCAGGAGCCGAGGAGGGCATGTCTCAGGCCCCGGAAGCGCGGCCGAGCCCACCCTCAGTGTACCACGAGCGGCAGCGGCTGGAGCTGTGCGCCGTCCACGCTCTCAACAACGTCCTCCAACAGCAGCTCTTTAGCCAGGAGGCTGCAGACGAAATCTGCAAGAGGTGATTGCCATCGGACCTGGCCCTGGAAGAGCAGGCCTCAGAGGCACGGGAGCCTGTCTGGGGCACTAGCAGGGCCAGGGCTCAGATCCCGAAGCTGTTGCCTACCCTTCCACCTGCCGCATCCCACAGCCTCAGCCCAGCTTTGGCCTCAACCTCTCTTACCTGCACCCTTGCCACAGCCTCCTAGCTGTTTTTCTCCTCCTGTCCATCCTACACATGGCCCCCCAGCTGCCTGCGCCTCCACTGCCTCCATCCCTCTGGTCCCCAGCACCAGAGAATAGCCCAGGCCCTTCAGCCTGAACTCCACGGCTTTGGGTCCTTGCCTTTCTGCTGTCTTCCTTCACTGCTCTCCTTGGCCCCAAACAGCCCCACTGTGGCGCCTCTGAGCCTTTACACAGGCTGTTCCCGTATTCCACAAGGCCTTCTTTTTCTTCTTGGTCACCCGGGTGCCCCTCAGAATTTCAGCCATCACTTTCTTAAGAAACTCTCTTCCTAGTCCCACCTCTAGCCCCACAGTCCTTCCACAGACACACAGACACCCCAGCCTGCAGTTTATGTCCACATCCAGAGGCAGTCCGTATGTCTTCTCACTGCTGCTGATCCAGCATCCTCAAACTGTAGATTTGTGTTAGAAGAGATTCCTCTTTAGATTACTATTTCTCTCCCCTGCCACCAGCTCTTTCATGCCAGGGGCATGCTGAACAGCTGGAGCTGAGGCAGATGAAGAGAGGGCTGGGGACACAGAGAGCAAACACAAGTGTTTCCCTCCATGTCACTGGTCTCCAAGGGTCCAGCTCTTCAGAAGAGCAGGGCCACATCTGGAGGGAGCTAGAAGGAAGGCTTGGGCACACGGGACAGCTGGGGATAGGTGGCTGGTAAGAGCTGGTGCTAAGGCTATGCAAGGCCCACCTGCCACTGGAGGAGGCGGTAGTCTGTCCTGGGGAGATGGGGCACCAGGGAGGGCTGTGAACAGAGTAGGCAGGGTATTACCAAATGAAAGAGGCACTCTGTGTTCAAATATGGTGACATGAGTCACACTGTCATTCGAGGGGGTTCTGAGACCAGTCTGGGGGTCTAATGGCTCCTTTCCCAGAAGAAATGACATCTGAGGCTGGTCTGGAAAGAGGCCGTGACGAGAAGGGTGGATGGAAGGTCAGGCACTTCGTCCAGGGCACTTGAGAGTCATGAAGAGGTGGGAGTATGAGAGCAGCAAGACAGCTCAAGGTTTCTGGAGGCGGGCTGGAGGGGGAGACGAGTCTGGGGAGGGTTTCTGAGTGGAAAGAGACAAAAGCTTTAGCCAGGCTGAGAGTACAGGTGTTGGGGATGGAAAAGAAAACAGGCCTTGGGGCCCGATAAGCTGTGTGGGGCTTGAAGAGAGAGAAGAGTCAAAGGCCAGGCTCTGGACCTCTCCTGTTGTGTGGGAAGGTGGAAGCCTTTCCAGGATTCCCAACCTTGACTCTGCCCCCCTCACCCCCAGGCTAGCCCCAGACTCCCGGCTGAACCCCCATCGCAGCCTCCTGGGCACCGGCAACTATGATGTCAACGTGATCATGGCTGCCCTGCAGGGCCTGGGCCTGGCCGCTGTGTGGTGGGACAGGAGAAGGTAGGGCCTAGGCTGTGGCTGCACTGGCCCTGGGTGTGTGGGATAAAGCAGAGGATGACTCCAAGGTAGATGGGGGAGGTTTTTGCCTGGGAGGCTGTGGCAGATGGGGACTGACTGAATGATGGGCTAAACTGATAAACTTAGTACTGGTCAAAAGGGTGGTGTGAGGGTCACCATGAGTGCCTCATGACTGAGGTGGGGAAAGATGGGAATTAGGTTAAGAGTGGTGAGACCAGCCTGCTGGCCGGAGGCAAAACTGAATCGGAAGCCGGCCTAGGCTGCGGATGGAGTCCCTGACTCAAAGAGGCAAACAACAAAAAGTTGAGGGGCTGGGCCCCATTGGCAGAAGGCTTACCAGTATGTTTGAGACGGGGTTCCATCCCCAGCACCCCATGAACGGCTGTAGTGGTGCACACCTGGGACACCAAAGATGGACCTGACAAGTAGAGAGTCAATGGGTGGATGAGTGGCCATTCTGGGGAGGGACGCAGTATCCGAGGGCCTCTGGGGCCTCATGCTGTGTCCCTCCCCTCCCCAGACCGCTGTCCCAGTTGGCCCTGCCCCAGGTGCTAGGCCTGATCCTGAACCTACCCTCTCCTGTGTCACTGGGGCTGCTGTCCCTGCCACTGCGCCGTCGGCACTGGGTGGCCCTGCGCCAGGTGGATGGTATCTACTATAACCTGGACTCAAAGCTTCGGGCACCTGAGGCGCTGGGGGACGAGGATGGCGTCAGGTGAGTGGTGAAGGAAGTAACAGGTTGAGACCGGCACTGGGAAGACCCTGCAGAGAGATGGACCTGCCTGAACTGCCCAGACCTCAGTCTCCCCTCATCTCCTCAGGGCCTTCCTGGCAGCTGCCCTGGCCCAAGGCCTGTGTGAGGTGCTATTGGTGGTGACCAAGGAGGTGGAGGAGACCGGCTGCTGGCTGCACACAAGCTGACCCACTGCCTGTGAACAGCTGCCTGCTGCCACAGCCCTGAGTATCCAGTGCCTGCAACTCCAGGCCCCGGGAGGCCTGCGCCCTGCCCTAGGGTCCCCACTCCCCCAACCACTGCTGCCTCAATAAATCTGCTCTTTTGCTATCTGCGCCTGAGCTCCTGGGGACGGCTCTCAGTCACAGACCAGTGCCCAGAGGGAGACAGAAGCCAGAGACCAACATGCTGTCTCCCCAAATCAGTAGGGTAACATAAGATGAAGCAGGAACCATTCCTCTCTAAGGTTTAGCCTGTGACCACGGACCTTGACTTCCCAAGTGCAGGGGAGCTGGGCAGCAGATAGGACTGGTTATATCCAGTCTCCCTCAGGAACAATGGACTTGGTGGGTGGCTGGATGAAGTCACAGGGTCCTTTAAAGCAGGAAGCCAGCCCAGAGGAGCCCATTTAGAATTTCTGACCCCCACAGAGACAGCCAGTGTGCGAGATCTGAAGCTGTGAGGAGGGCAGGAAACTGGCACAGCTGCTGCCATTTTCTCAGGTGTGCTGGGCCGCCTGAGAAGGAGCAGTTGGGCTCAGCCCTGCAGGAGGTGAGGAACAGACTGAAGGGCTGTTGAAGGAATATTTTCCTAGGGCACCAGACTGGAGCAAAAGAGAAGTGCCTCCATCAGTCGCCAGCCAGACATCCTCAAGAGGCTGTGAAACTCGAGGGGCCCCAGAATTGGAAGTTGCTGATGTACCCAGAGTGCTGTGGCCCTGCTGTCACCACCACAGTTATTTGGGGAGGTGTTGACAGACAGACCTATCTGGGACAGAGTGGAAGGAGGACTGGAGCCAGGAGGAGCCCTGAAGAAACAGTGGAGGTGATGGCATGAGCCCCAAGAGGGGAAGGAGGGGGCCAGGATCTGGCCCTGAGCCCTAGTGCCTGTAGGAAACAAGGGGAGAGATTGTCCTCAGCTGAAGGGACAGGCCTGGGCAACAGGGACCCAGGAGAGCCTATGGGTGAGGAGGGTCCCAGATTGGGGTACGACACCTCACCTTGGCCAGGATCTACACTGGTAGTGAATTCATCTGGAGTTGAAGGCCACATCCTGGCACCATGCTAGTAAAAGCCAGGGGCTCAAGCTGCTGCCATCTGGTTCTCAAGACTTCTGAGGTCAAAGGGCAAGTTGCAAAGTAAAAACCAAGGCAGCATGTGGAGGACACATACTGGATTGCCAGAGGACTCAGCCCTGGAGCCTGGGACCTTTGCTGCCTCCTGGCCTCTGTCTTTTCCCACCTTCTAGCCCCTCCCTGGGTCTCTTTTGTCTGCCTGTCCTTCTCCATATGTGTCCAAGTTAACTCTTCCATTCCCCTACCTGTGTGTGTGTGTGTGTGTGTGTGTGTGTGTGTGTGTGTGTGTGTGTGTGTGTGTGTGTGTGCCCTCTTCCCCTTTTTGAGACACAGTCTCGCTGTATAGCCCAAATTGGTCTCAAACTTGCCATGATCCTCCTGCCTCAGGTACCCAAGTGCTGAAATTACAGGTATAAGCCACCACACCCCCACTACCCCATCTCTTCCCATGGCTCTGAAGTCCCTCTGGGTCTCTGGGCTGCTTACCTTCTCTATGCCTCCATCTCCCCACTTCCTGCCCACCCCCCCCCCACCTGTCGCCTGTCCAGTCCCGGGTAGGGGACAGCTGCCAGGACTCCCTGAGTGTTTCTATTCTTGGCCTGTGACATCCCAGGTGCACCCTCAGCTGTGACCAAATAAGGTCCTAAATGAGGAGCCTGTGGAGGGAAGGGTGCAGGCCCGCACCGATTCAATGCCTTCTGTTTGCCCTTAGTGCTGACTTGGTGCCCCACTGACACCTCACTTCTGAGGAGAGCACCTTGGCCCTAACATGCCTGACCAGGCCTGTCCTGAAGCTGGTGGGTTCCCTGATGCCCATGGGTGTGGGGCTCCGTGCTGACCTCCAGGGGCCTGAGGCACAGGCCATGGGGGAGGGTTGGTGGTATGGCTGACTGTGCAGCTGTTGCTGGCTGTGCTGACAGCTGAGGCTCAATTTAGCTGCAAGGCCAGGGTCTGGCCAGATAAGGTGTGGATAGGGACAGGACCCGCCCCTTGGTGCCCCTTAAATTGCAGGGCTTGAGCTGGGGTTGGGGACGCAGACACCGAGGCCAGGTGAGAGGTCCTGCTGCCGTGGTGGCCCACAAGGCCCCCGGTGTCTCTCCACCTGTCCGCTTGCCTCTCCTGACTGGGCCCCTTCTACCTTCCATGGCCTCCAGCCTCATCCTTCTGTACCTCTCTCTGTCTGTGTCTGCCCCCTTCATCTCTCTGTCTCTGTCTCTCTTCTCTCTCTCTCCCTCTCCCTCCCTCCCTCCCTCCATCCCTGTGCCTGATTTTCCCTGTCTCCCTCCCTCCCTCTCTCTCTGCTTCTGTGTCTCTCTATCTCTCTCTCTGATTTTCTATCTCCCTTCATCTCTGCCTCTCTCTGTCTCTCAACCCAATACTCCCTCTATCTCTGATGTTCCCATATGTGTCTGTCTCTCTCTTGACCTGATTTTCCCTCTCTCTGTATTTCTCTTTCCATGTCTGTCTTTGTCTCTCTCCTCTTTGCCTTTCTCTCTCTCTCTCTCTCTCTCTCTCTCTCTCTCTCTCTCTCTCTCTCTCTCTCTCTCTCTCTCTCTCTCTCTCCATCTCTCCGCCTCTCTCTGATTCTCCCTCTCTATCTCTGTCTGCTTGTTCCCTACCCCTTCCTTCCCATTTCCTATTTTCAGGTCTCTCTTTGCTGGGGCCCAGGCCCTGTGTTCTTTCCTGAATAAAGCTGGTTCTGTGCTGGCTCCCTCTTCTCTGCTTCAGTCTTTCCTCCCCCTCTGTCCCCACCCACGCCCAGCCCAGGTCCTGGGTGAGGGGCTCAGTCCCGGCAGCAGGGTCATTCCCTCCTGCCCCACAACAGGACAGAGGGGTGGAGAGCAGGGACTCAAGACAAGAGAGGCAGGAAGGAAGGTCAGCCCAGATGGGGAACAGTGGGTCATGGGATGCAGAGGCCAGGCAGCACCCCATACCCGGCAGACCAGGCTCCCCTCCCCCTTGGACCAGGCCATGCCAGAGCCAGGACAATGTACCCTTGTCTCCTGTCCTGACAGCTGGGGGCTCCTGCCTCCAGCTCCTTCAGAGAAGCCAGTGGCTTTCTGCTCCGCCCTAGGCAGGGGAGTGACCCTGAGGACCAGGCCTGGGGCATCTGCCACCTCCAGTCTCCTGTCTCTGCCTGAGCCCTAGGGTCCTTCTGGTCCCCCTGATGTTTGTACACCCTTTCTACCCTCTGCCTCTGCACTTTCTGCTCAGCTCTGCTGTCCCTCCACTATGTCCTCTCTCCCACCCAGTGGGTCTGGCCCCTCCCCACTAGGAATCTTGTGAGCACCTGCTGTGTATGAGGTCCCAGATTCTGGGCTCCTTTCCCTCCTGCACCCTCGCCCATTGTCATCTCTTATTCGTCTCCCCCCTTTCTGCCCTCCTGGGAGAAGAATGAACATACTTTGACCCCTGTTGTATACCAGGCACTTCACTCAACCTCTCTTATCTCTTTACACCCTCCCCTCCCCCACCCCTCTTCTCTCCTCTCTCTGTTTACTCTCTTCCAAGACAAAGAATACGTTTATTGAGTACTGCTAGTATGCTTTCTCTCTCTTGCCCTCCAGTCCCCACTAACAACGGTCTCTGCCAGCCTCTGCTTTCTGCTTCTCTGCCTGGAGAATATGGGCATTTATTGGGCACCAGCAGTATGCTAAGCTTTTTATAAACACTTCCTTCCCTTCCCCTTCCTCCCTTCTGTCCTTTGCTTCCTACTGGCTCCCCCCACACACACCCCAGAAAAACGAAGGGGCACTAATTGAGCACTGACTGTGTACCAAGCAATCCACACCTATGCCTCTCTTGGCTCTCTGTCTCCTCTTCTGCAGGGGAAGCTACAACTATTCCAGAAAGAGGGATGGGGTGCCCTTTGGGAATACAGCTAGGGTAAGAATGGACCAGCACTCATCTCCAGGAACAAATGTGGAAACTAAGGCTGATGGGAAGAGGGTGCACCCCCTACAGCTGGCCTGGGTCCCCTACGCCCCTCTTTCTTCCTCCCAATGTGATTCCCACTCTTTGTCTCACACTCCCTGTCACATGCCATCATTCTCTGACCTCTTCCTATCTCTGCCCACATGATATGGCTCCACAAACCTCCTCACATACAATGCAGTACCTGATGCTTGGGCACTCCCATCATCACCCAACTCAGGCACTGCAGCCTCCTCCCAGGCCAGCCATCTGTTTCCTTTTCTTCCTCTTCCTCCATTTCTTTGTCCTCTCCCTTCCCTTCCTCCTCCTCCTCCTCCTCCTCCTCCTCCTCCTCCTCCTCTTCCTCCTCCAATTTCTTCCTCTTCTCCTTCTCCAGCTTTCTCTTCTCCCTCTCCATTTCCTTCTCCCCCTGTACCTCCATCTCCTTTCCTTCCTCCTTCTCTTTCTCCTCCATCTCCTCTGTTGCCTTTTCTTCTCCTATTTCCTCCTCCTTTCCTAATTCTCTTCCTCCTGCCACCTTGTCCTCTTCTGCTCATTTTCCTCCTCCATCTTCTCTTCCTGCATCTCCTCCATCTCTTCCTTGTCTCCCTCCTCCTCGTCTCTCCCCTACTTTTTCTCATTCCCTCCCTCCATTTTCTCATGTCCCTTCCTTCCTTCTTCTTCCTCATGCTTCTCCTACTCCATCTCCTTCTACTCCCTTTTCCTCCTCTTTCTCTTTTATGTCTTATTCCTCTGCCTCCAGCACCTTCTCCTTCATCTACTTTTCCTCCTACTCCTCTTCCTTCTCCATCTCTTCCTCTTCCGTCTTCTGATGTTCCTCATCCCTCTTTCTCTCCTTCCATCTCTTTCTCCTCCTCCATGGCCTCCTTCTCTTCCCTTTCCTCCTCCTCTTTCTCAGTTTCATCCTGGTACTCCTCCATCTCCTTCACCTCCTCCTTTTCCACCTCTTCTTTCTCTGCCTCTCCCTCTTCTATCTTCTCCCCCTCTTCCTCCTTCCTTTTATCTCCTCCGTCATCTTCCCTGATTTCTTCTCCATTTCCTTCTACTTCTATTCATCCTAATCTTCCATATCCTCTTCTTCCATCTCCTCCACTATCTCTTC